CTGTGTGTCTGTCTGTGTGTCTGTGTGTCTGTGTGTCTGTGTGTGTGTCTGGTTCTCAGACAATAGAGGATCTAATGTACATTCTTAATTTAATTTTTCATATGAAGCTCTTATAGTTTCCTGCTGTGTGAGCATGAGGTTTGAGATGAATGTATGAGGACTCATGGTGAACGTGTGAGTCAGACCTGGTGATGATGACTCCATTACAGGCTCCAGAGAGGATGAGCCCACCTGTGGGAGGCCGCTGGGGATCAAGGTGGGACCCAACGGGACTCTGATTGTGGCCGACGCCTACCTGGGAGTGTTTGAGGTCAACCCCACCACAGGTCAGAGACCACACACACACACACACACACACACACACACACACAACCAAACATGTAAAATCTCACAGTGTCAATAAAACAAGACAAATATAAAGGTCAGAAAATAAACGTCAGGACTCGACGTATGAAAAGATAAAATATTATAATGAAAACAACAAAAATCAAATTAAAGATTTCAGAACAGCAAAAATTTAAGTTACGTCCACGTGAGAGTCAACGATAAACTGATTAGATTTTAATGGTTAAAGGTCACTGTGATCTTGCGTGGGTCTCATTTACATGAATGAGATATGTCAAGAAGGCCTTCAGGGAAGTTCCTTAAATTTGGCACAAACGGTCACTTGGACTCAAAAAGGAACTGATTACAACTTTGTGGCCAGAGGTGACTGTGACCTTGCGTCCATCTCATTTTGTGAACGCAATATCCCAAGAGCACCTTGGAGGCATCTCTTAAAATTTGGCACCAACGTCCATTTGGACTCAATGATGAACTGATTAAAATTTGGTGTCAGACATGTCTGTAAACTGTAACTGTGCTGGTTTGTAGAGGCATCCAGCAGCGAGGCAGTGATTCTAGTTTGGATATTGTTTTTCTGGGCTTGTTTGTTTGTTTGTTTGTGTGTGTGTAAACATGTAATCAGATCCTACCTCTGGATGTTTGTGACACGTGTGCCCTCTCTGTGGTGGTTTCCTGTGTAGGTGAAGCGACTCGGTTGGTGACGGGTGGTCAGGTGGTTGCCGGCAGGAAGCTGTCATTCATCAACGACGTGGCGGTGACGCAGGACGGGAAGAAGGTGTACTTCACCGACTCTAGCAGCAGGTGGCAGCGCAGAGACTACCTGAACCTCATCATGGAGGCCACGGCCGACGGACGGTACGATTAAGGCCATGACTCACCATAACCTCTCCGACAGGCGGGGCCTTTGTTAGAGACACCAGAGGCTTTGCTTTATATCCAATCATATTTCACTGAGTACTTCCTGTTTTAATTTGTTGAAGGTAGAAACACTTCCTGCATGTTTACCTGCTGTCTCCATTAATTTATTATAATATCTGTTTCCACACCCATATATGGAAGAAAATGTAGAATAATCAAAGACAGAAATAAAATACGTAAATATTTATTTTAGTTTTATTCTCAAAGTATTTAATGTGTATTATTATTCATTGTATATATTTAGTATTTTGAAAAATCTTTGGTCTTTATAGCCAAAAGGTACAAAATGATAAATTAATTTTAATTTTTTTTTGCAATAGTTGAATTCAGATATAATTTATCAAATAAATTACACTGATATTTAGAAAAATCATGGACGGATCAATTGATGATATTCAAACAAAAGTAAAAAAAGAATAATTCTGGAATCCACCGTGTTGTTTTTCACTTTTTTATTTATTTATTTTCATGATATTATTTATTTATTTTAAAAAAAGCTTTTAAATATATTTTTTTCTTATTCTGTTTTTGTTATTATGACTGAGAGATACAAATGATAAATTAAGAAGTAATTATATTTTATTATTCATTAGTTGAATTTAAATTTAATTATTCAAGTTCTAATCATGTTTAAATTAAATCAACGGATTCACTGATTTAATTTAAACATGATAAAAGTCCAGAATCCACTGTGGGTTTGTTTTTTTAAATATCACATTTTTTTCATAATGAATCAATGATAGCATTAATGAACAGTTTAATTCCAGACACAGTCTGTGAATCGCTGCTGAAGAACTTGACCACTTCCTGTAGGTGTTTCACAATAAAAGCCTTGCTGAGTTGTTGCGTGTTGTTTCCTGTCAGAGTGTTGGAGTACGACACGGAGAGCCGGGAGCTGACGGTGGTGATGGAGAACCTTCGATTCCCAAACGGGCTCCACCTACTGCCTGACGAGGAGTCGGTGCTGGTGGCCGAGACCACCATGGCTCGGATACGCAGGTAAACACACCTGATCCTTAACCACCTGAACCTGACTGAACCACCTGTCTGCACATGCCTCCAGGTTTTATTATTCTGTTAATTCAACAGTCGGAAGAATAAACACATGTATTCTTCTAAATTCAGATGAAACAAAACCAGCTTATTGTAAGCATGTGACCTGGAGTCAGCAGGTGTCAGCTCAGGTGTAACAGCTCAGGTGTGACAGCTCAGGTGTGTCAGCTCAGGTGTGACAGCTCAGGTGTGTCAGTTCAGGTGTG